TGGGTGTATAATCGATAACATATTAGTAGCATAAAAATGTCAGTCAACCTAAGATATAGCTGCGCCGATGGAATAAATGAAGTAAAATTATTTGATAAGTGCACTTGGAAACCCGGATATAAAAGCGAACATACCTATATTTTGCTGTAGGAGATACTATGGGAAAAATTTTGGACTTATATGCGGTGTAATAGATAACAGAATCAAACAGGAGCCTAAAAAGAATAGTGATATTTAAGCAAATCCGAAACCATTCAAGTAGATACTTATTAAATGATAAATCAACAGAAAAACGATTTTTTTAAGTAACTATAAAAATTTAAGGTATAAGAAAAGGTATTATCAACAGTAAGAAATAACAAGGGTTATGTCTATAATATAGAAAGCTCATATACGAAGGCGAAGAAATGAAAAACTAAGGTTACCAGCAGCAAGTAGAAGTGCGACAGTCTCTTCATGACCTTCTCTTGCCGCCTCCATTAATGGAGTATATCCTTCATCATTAACTTCCTCGATATCCGCCTCGTAACCAATGAGTAGACTAGCCAATTCAGTGTGGCCACCACAAGCTGCCAGAGTAAGAGGTGACTCAAAGCTATCCTGAGGGATATTGACGTTAGCACCATAAGACAACAAAAGCCTGGCAACTTCGACGTGACCTTCCATTGCGGCCTCCATCAATGCAGTGTGCATTTCATCTGTTCGGTGCTCGTGGTCAGCCCCAGCCTCCAAAAGGAACTTAACCATTTCTGCATGGCCCTGTGAAACATAAGGGAAAGAAACGGATAATTTATGGTAATTCAAACGGATCGTTCCAAAATGTAGTAAATGACTTAGTTTAAGTGAGAAAACCGATTAAGAGAAACAATACCTTATAGCTTGCAAGAGTCAGAGCAGACTCCTTAAACTCAGAAGAATGAGTATTTATATCAGCTCCATGCTCAATCAGGCATCGAGCAACGTCTATATAGCCATTGCTTGTAGCTTCCATTAATGGTGTGTGACCTGTCTCATTTTGAACTTCCATAGGACTCTTGTAATGCAAAAGCAGCCGGACACAATCTAAATGCCCAGATGTAGCTGCATAATGAAGGGCTGTATTTCCAGTGCTAGAAGTCACGTCCGTCGAAGCCCCGTACTCAAGGAGTAAACGGACGATTCCCGCATACCCTACACTTGCAGCTTCCATTAAAGCAGTACACTCGACCATTTTGCTTCGTATATTTGCATCAGTCTGAAATTATGAGTATAAAAAGCCTTACCCCATGCTTTAAGAGAAGTTCAACGATACGTTCCGCATTTGCAGAAACAGCACATGTCAATGCCGACTCACCTCCCGGAGCGAGTTCATTTATATGACAATCTCCAGATTCTAATAGTGCACGGACAGTTTCTTCGTCTCCATTGGTACATGCTTCAATCAAAGAAGTGGGTCTCCTGCAATGACTATAGAAATACACGCACCTTTCTTCGCGATTCATAGACAATATAGCACATTCTTTGCTTATCTCATTCAGTACTTCATTGTCAGATAAGTGGCGACCGTCTTTTGTAAGCACATTTTCAATACCTGCGGCTTGAAGGAATTTACGAAAATGGTCCTGGGTCTCAGGACTCAGTTCTGCCATAGTTCCATCCATCTGATAATCATTGGTAATACGTAAAAGGAGTAAAAATATCAAAATAAAAATTAAACGAAATAGAATGGACGCAAGGATGACAAACCAGCGCTAATAATTAGAAAAAAGTAATGATTTGTGTAGACAAGGCAACACGGGGTAAAGGGGGAAAAGAAGAATCAAAAGAGATTAAGAAGTAGCAAGAAATATAGGAAATACAAACTATTACTTTTAAATTTTTCAAATCAGACATTTTAAGGCATTCACAGTGGTAATAATGAACAGGAGGCGATTCGCCACTTCCACTCGAATAAGCCACGTTTTTGTTAAACCAAACTCTTTCGTGTTCACCATTAATCGCATGGTTAGAGCTTTTAGTTCAACCGTAGCTAAATATAAAAAAATATTTAAATTTTAGTTTACAAAATTATTTAAATCATAAAGAACAGGCAATTTAAACACAAATTTTATGTTTTCCCAGAACAGTTCATATGCTCATAACTTTAGCTGGAACTGAATATATGGAATATATTTATAACTCATATGTATTAATGAATTAAAGAAACAGATGAAATTTCACTACAGTTAAAAAATTAGCTATATACGTAATTAAAATAAATATATAATTAATAAATAAATTAGTTAATATTTATTACTTTAGTTTCAGATGCATTAAAATACAACCATTTCTTCTTGTTTCTTTCCTCAACAACTATTGACCGCTTTGTCTGATTTATTCACCAAACTGTCATAAATATTCCTTTTACCTATACCGGCTGCTATTAAGGTTTTCCACCTCTAACCATATAGTTTAGTTCTTAGGCGGAATCCTATTCTATTTTGTAACCTTAATTTTTTGTCAATTCTTATGCATAATTGCTTGAAGGTTTTCATTTTTTCTTATTATCTTCTTAAGTATTATTTTTACCATATATTTGGACCGGATATTTCAGCTACTCTAATTTATAACAAAGTTTCTTACTTATTTTACTGAATAGATTCTTAGGATAGCATTCATTTCATGATAAACTACACATGTGCTCTGTCAATTCTTCAATATTTTCCTATTCTTTTTCTGGTTGGGATTTTTTCCTTCAAATTATTTCCGTTTTCTCTGATGCTTGAAAATCACCTAGCTATTACATCTTTTTGCATTTGGCACTACATATAGGGTTATTTTTCTCAATTATTCCGTATGATCGCATTTGGCATGCTAATCCCTATTATTTACCCGCCTTCTCGCCACCATTTTAGGTATTAAAGGTGGATGATAAGTCTTTAATTAAGATTTTTTTGTTTATAATATTTAGCATTCTTGAGGCCAGTCCTTTTGATTTTGGCAATATTGAAGGACAAATTTTCGATTTAACTGATTATTAAAGGTTAAATGTATTTAGCCACGTTGACAGTCGCCATTTAATTATCTGTATTTTATCGGAGATTTTCTGGGCTTTCTCTCTATCATAATTACAATTTATCTCGTCAAGCTAGACTCCCAGTGATTAAAATATACTCTCTTTTATAATGTATCATCAAATGTATTGGGTTTAATTTTTATAAGCTTAAATTCCTGATTTCTTATGGATCTTCATAGCTGGGAATGAACATTTTAAATTTCTGATGTTTTATCGGCTAAACATAGTTATTCATCAAACTAGTGGTCCTAACTAGCGGATGTGATCAGGATCGTCAAAATTCGATCTTGCCAATCGAGTATTGTGCTGCTGGATTATCACGCAATGATGCTACTCCGTCAAGCTAGTATAATATAGCTAACAAGGAATGCAGCGGCCGCAACAAGATTGGCATTGCTCTAAAACTCGCCAATGTCACTTTGAGTGGGTCTACTAATTGCTGTGCGGCTTAAGCTTTCTAGCCATGCAAATAGGAAACGAATATCTCTTAAGGTTGTGGATAACGGCTTTTATCTGTCTTATGCTCAAAATTATTTCCTAAAAAACTTATTAGTAATATGAGATGCATTTAGCCTATTTCGTTTAAAGTGATAAGGGACTGGTATTAGAATTTTCCCACAATTATATGAGTAGAGCTGACTTTCCTATTGAATTTTAAATAGCCTTGTCTTCCCAAATGTTTTTTTCATCCAGTGTGAACTGCAGTTTCGACCTCGCATAGGTCTTATCAACAACCCCAGCGAGAGTCTAATCGTGAAAGTGCAGCATGTGAGCTTGATAAGTTAACCACTCTGTCACATTGCCACGAGTGCCACAGTAAAGATTTAAATTGCAAGAAAGGCCAGACCTATTCTCTATTATCCCAGGGCACTCATGGCAATGTGGCCGAGTGGTTAACTTATCAAGCTTACATGCTGCACTGTCACGATTCGACTCCCGCTGGGGTATTGCTAAGACCTATGCGAGACCGAAACGACAGTCCACCGTAGAAAAAAACAACTTTTGGGAAAGCAAGGCTATGCGAAATTCAATGGAAGCGTCGGCTCTAATCATATTATTGTGGGAAAATTCTACTACCAGTTCTTCGTCGCCTTAAACGAAATATGGCGAATACATCTCATATTACTGATTTACTGATAGTCTCGAAACTCTACTTAAATATGAAAAACGTATTGGTATTTTATCTAAAAGAAGCTGGTTTTAAGGAATCCATTAATAGATTGGTGTTTGAGTACCTTTCATTTAGTTTGAGGAGGCGAGTGGAATGGATTCGTAAGTTTGTCTCACTGTAACGGGCGTCGCTTTAGAGCTGTGACTAGTGATTTGTACGAATAAGTCGTCTGCTGACTATCTCACGGCTTCGAAGGATCCGTGCTGAGCTTTCGTCGTTCGTGACGGACATCTTCAGAGCATGATACCATGCCTTATAGTATTCACCAAGCGCAGAGGCAAGAAAAATGGCCGGCTGTAGTCATGTCTCTTTCTTATAGTCGAACTTCATCCACTTAATCAGATATTTGCTATAGTTGTCTATCTCATGCTCTCCATAAACGCTTGCGGAAAAGTGAAATGGCTGTAGATGGAGCGTGAAATGTATGCATTTGTGAAAAAAGCTGCATTCTCCCTTAAATCGATTATATTTATTTTCCTGTAACGTTGCCTCATGTGATTACGCTCCATTGCATCTAAGACGCGTTAGATGTTAATTTAAAACCGGTATTGAGGTTAAGCAAGCTTCCTCTTGCCATATAGAACTTCTCTCTTTCTATAATTCTATCTAACAGCCGAAAGCGGTTCACGCTTAGCATCCTACACTCATTCCTATTCAGGGTATTGGGTATTTCGTTGATTTCTATATATTCCCTAGCTTTCGCTCATTGGTATAGTCTCCATACTTAGCTAAGCGTTTGGCTTTAGACAAGTCTATTCGGTGTCCTGCGTTTGCTGTGTTCAGCCAGTTCTGACTTTTGGACCCAAAACTATTTTCAGGCTTTCTTATGTTGGGATAACCTCTTATCTGTGTTTCACATAGACGTACTACATGAACAAAAAAACCTTACAGCATCCCAATTTAGATGGTCTTGAACTAAAAAGTGTTATTTTTTCCCTCTACATTGTGTCGATACCTCACTTATTTAGTAATTCTTTCTTTTTCG